TCAGGGAAAGATGCGTCTTATATTGAGGGGAAAAGATTTGTCTTATATTCCAAAAATACAGTATTTTTAAAAAGCATTGTCCATATAACACTTCCAACAAACCTAGCTATCCAAGTGTAATGGGGTTAATAGTTTTTTGATGGACAGGGGGTCTGACACATTTTTTTTTTTTTAAAAATAGAATTGTACACATTGGTAGAATCAGTAATTTATAGTTCCCCCCTTCCAGGTTTTTTTTGTGTGTTTTTTTTTTTCTTTTTAATTTTGCAGAGTTAGAGGTATTCTTGTTTTTCTTTTTAACCAAACATATCCTTGTGTCAAAATGGCAGGAAATTATATTTTCCAGTAATGGTTGGAGAGAGGTTCAGGGAGAGAGCAAAGAACATTTAGGTTTTGGGCCACCCACTCTTTATATCTTACAGCTGTGTGTATATGTGTGTTGACTGTGTGTAATAGTATACTGCAATGTTGCAGGGGCGCAGTGGCTCAGTGGCTAAGACGCTGAGTTTGTCAATCAGAAAGGTTGGCAGTTTAGTGGTTTGAGTCCTTAATGCCACATAATGGAGTGAGCTCCTGTTACTTCTCCTAGCTTCTGCCAACCTAGCAGTTTGAAAGCATGTAAAAAATGCAAGTAAAAAAATAGGAACCACCTTTGGTGGGAAGGTAACAGCATTCCGTGCACCTCAGGCGTTTAGCCATGCCGGCCACATGACCACGGAGATGTCTTTGGACAAAAAAGTGAATGAAGAAAGAAAGTGAAATGTTTTATTTATTTTGTATTGCTTTGAAAATGACAAAAAAGAAAAGAAAAACAAAACACAAAAATAATTATGATAAAACACTTCTTTACTTTTTTCAAAAAGCACTTTCTCTGTATTTTTCATTTTCCTTGACACTGTCTCTATTTTTGTCTATTTTAATAAAAAGTTAATGAAGGAGGAAAAAAATCTATAAAATTCATCTTCATGATGAAAGGCAAAAATATTATCTCATCAATTTTCCAAGTTATTTATTTGCTCAAGACCAGAGGAGATGGACCTCACAATATGACCTTGCAAACAAGCTCCAGTGCTAGAAATATGCATTAAATAGTTTTTGATGTAATACATTCAATTTAATATATTTCTCTTTGTTTCTCACTTTTATTTTTCTTTGGAGACATGATATAGAGGGAATTCTTAGAACAGCATGCTGGTTTGGACTTCGCGACTGTTTAGACCTAGCTTCTGAATTCTTCAACAAGTGGATGAACAATTCCAAACATGAGTAAATACAATTTATCTCCTTATTTTTATTATAAAATGTGCTCTTTTTCCACAAAACAAGTTCTAAAGCCATGCAAATACCAGACAATTATTGTAAAATTAAGCACAAAATGTTCAGAGTAGGAAAAAAAAAAAAAAGCATTGGGACAGAACAGAAGTAATAAATCCTAAATAAAATCCTAATTAAACCATTGGATAGAAGCCGAAAAACAACACTGCATGCTTTAGGGAGTCTATCATTTACACCACACAGGGACAGAAAATGCAACTTATAATGCATATTTATTTTGTGCCAGAAGGGTCTAATTGCGTATGGTAGAGACGACTACTGTAGGAATAACTGAAAATATGTATTTGTGAAAACATGCTCTCTATTTAGGACCTTGTTGAACACAATGATCAATTTCATCTTTTTATATTAATGGGTTGTTTTATTTATAATTGCAGGGCTCCTGTTTGTTTTAGCTCAACTATTTGTTGCTATGGTGTTTCGTTGGGGAATGAGGAAGAATGGGAATTTTTATGGAACATTTTTCAAAAGAATGAGACTGAAGATGAGTACAAATCCAATATATTATTTGCCTTGAGTTGCACTCGCATTCCATGGTTACTTCAAAGGTGATTCAATTAATTCTTGTACTGAGTGAAAAAATAATTCATGATTTCAGAAGCCAAAGGCAATAACAACGTTACATAGTTCATTCACTTCTTGCTAGATATGGACTTAGTGATTCCTTAAGTTCATGATCGTATAATTATCTATTCTTTTTTTTAAAAAAGTTGTAAACATGAATGGCTGCTTAATAGTTGAATGGTGTCTATGCTAACATTTCTTTCTTTTGATAAAACATAAAACCACAAAAAATGCTGCACGTTAAAGCTGCAGTTCAATTTTTCAAATTCCTTTGTTTATTTCTTTGATAGTAACATCACTTTTCTGAATAAAGTTACTTTATACATACCTGGAAATTCTCACTTTGGCACATTCTTCAATAATTTATTTTTAAAATCATGTCTCCAAGATAAATGTAACAAAAATGAACAAATTCATGTAACAAATGTCACCATTGGTCTTATCTGCATCCTCCTGTGCATGTCTCTGATTGTCCTTCTTACAGAAAACTTAATCTTATTGTTTGACTGAAAATAGAAATCTGACTATAGCAGTATTTTTCAACCTTGGGAGCTTTAAGGATGCTGACTGGAGGATTCTGGGAATTGAAGCCATACATCTTAAAATTGCCAAGGTTGAGAAACACTAGAGCAGTGATGGCAAACCTTTTAGAGACCGATTGCCCAAACTCCAACCCAAAAGCCACTTATTTATCACAGAGTGCCAACACAGCAATTTAGCCTGAATAATGAGGCTTTACTACCTAAAATAATGATAAACAATGCAGAGTTCAGCTAATTGTTCTAAGAAAAATGTGATAAATGCACTTTTATGCCCCTTCAATTTTTTTTTCTGTTTTTGAAATATTCTATTTAGCAACAATAAAAAAGAAAAACTTTTGTAATATAATTTCTTTTTCCCTCCCCTTCTCTTCCCCTCTCTCTTCCCCTCCCTCCCTCTCTCCCTCTGTTTCTCTTTCTCTCTTTCCCTCCCTCTCTTTCTGTTTTTCCCTTTCTACCTCCTTCTCCCTCTGTCTGCCTCTCTCTGTTTCTTTCTCTCTTTCCCTCCCTCCCTCTCTTTATATCTCTCTGTCTTCTATCTATCTATCTATCTATCTATCTATCTATCTATCTATCTATCTATCTATCTATCTATCTATCTATCTACCTACC